AGAGCTCCAGGAGGGTTTGGACAATGCTCTGAGGGCCAGGGTGGGATTGTTGGAGTGTCTGTGCAGGGCCAGGGGTTGGACTCATTGACCCTTGTGGTCCCTTTCAACTCAGGATATTCTGTGATCCTGAAACAGGCAGGATCTTGAAACCACCACAGTCAGACACCAGAATAATCACAGAATCATTAAGGTTGGAAAAGACCTCCAAGATCATCCAGTCCAACATGCTGTGTGGGATGGTTGATGCTGAGACATCTGTTTCACCTTATGTCTGGACATTCTTCTTCACAAGCCTAAAGACAAAAAAACCTTTTTAAAGTATTGGGTTTTTATAGAAACTCTTTAGTTCTGGACAAAGGTCTCAGAGCAGTTTAAAGCTGTGCTGGTCCAGGCAGTGTCAACCCCAGCTCTTCTCTGCAGGGTTCCTACATCCCAGCACCAAACAGAGACATTCCTCCACAGTTCCACATCCTTTAGGATCTGTGAATCACTGGTGCCAAACATCCAGAGGTGTGTGGGTCAGGTTTGTGCCTGCTCAGCACAGGAGGGGGGGATTTCCTGGCAAAAAAAAATGAGTTCAGGCTCCATCCAGCACATGTGAACAAGAGGGTGTAACATTTGCTCCATTTTCTGTGACAATCTGTTGGGATTTATGAGAAACGAGGAAAACAGTTGAGAAATCTTGGATGAAAGGTCTGATTTGTAAAGATGTTTATGCACCTGGCACTGAAGGCAGATACAGGCAGACATCTGGGCACTTGTCTCCTTCCAGCCACACAGCAAGAGCTGCAGTTACGTGTAGCTCCAGGTGCTGCTCAGAAATGTGAGCTGAGTGACAGAGCTCTGGCCACAAAAGGTGAAGGAAATTGCTTGAACCAGATGCCCAAATCATCAGGTTAATTTGAGAGTCTTTTTCCTTCCTGGAGGCACGAACTCTGTGGGTGACAGGCTCTGCTGCTCCTCTCAGCAAGTGAACCCTGGAAAGCCGCAGCTCTGTGGCTCTGTCTCATAATTTGTGCAAACAACTGGTGCCATCTTTTCAAAGAGAGCCCCTTCTTTGACAAAATGATGTCATTTGCTGCCCAGCCTTTCCTCCCTGTGAGCAAATACTGCTGCGTTCCCTTCCCCACGTCCAGGGGATCAGCTTTCACCCTCGGTGACCAGAATGAGGAGCCCGGGAACAGAAGCCAAGGGAGATTTATTATATCACTGAACTGGCATCTGGAATGTCACAGAGTATCCGAGCTCTGACATAACTCTGAAACTTGGCACAGCTGGAATATGGGTTGTAACAGGTAATGCTGCTATTGTATTTCCCTGTTTTCTTTAGGATAATTGTTGCATTGGTACAGAGGTTAAACACTTCCCTCTGCTTGTTTGCCTGTAATACTGAAGCTTTAGTTTATCAGTTGTAGTTTATTTTTATTATCATATTTTATATTATTTAACATTTTTATTTGTTTTATATTATTACATTTATATTATATATTTGTATTATTATATCTTTAGTAATGTTATATTATTTTAAAAGAAAATTTTCACTCTTCCTGATTTTCTCTGCCTGCTGTCCTCTGCTCTGTTATTTTAATGGCATTCTCATATGGACATTTTTCATCTGCTCTGGGCCCCCTCTCAGCAAAAGGAGCTCTCAACAGTATCTGTGCTCTCCTGTGCCATCGCAGTCAGAGCTGGCTGGTGAATAGAGCAGCAGGGGTTTTTTGGATCCTGCAATGGGCTTTCCCCCACACATCTCCTGTGTGCATTTTGCATGAGTTCAGAGAGGGCTTCCCACAGAGGGAATGGCAAATCCTCTGGGCATGGCTTGCAGGGCTGCAATCATGACCCATTTGACTTGCCCAGGTGCTGTGAGCAGAAGCCCTGACTCTCAGACTGCAGCAGTTTTCCACGCTCTGCCTCACTGTCCTTTTTCTTATTTCTCTTTCCTTTCCCCCTGCACGTGTTACTGGGCAGGAGACTCCCACTGGCTGTAATTGCCATCACCTTCCATCTGGCCATGACAACAGGGCAATAAAAACCTGAACTGCTCATGGTAAACAAATAAAATACACTCCCTTTCCCCAGAAGCCTTTAAGAACATCTCTGGAAAGGGAAGTGCAGTGATTTGGCTTTTCTAACCTGCTCACAGGATTTACCCGGGATTTGGGATGCCTGGAGCTGGAGCGGTGGCCCCAGGGGATTCTGGAAGCTGTGATCCATCCCTGTTGTGGTCAGGACCCAGCATCTCTCTGGAGAACAGTTTCCTGCTCCTGCCTGACACACACGATGGGCCAGGTGAAGTGGCTTCGAGTGCCACCCCGTGCATGCCAGGAGGTGACTCTATTTTACATGATTCCTGTGTGAAAAATGTGCAGATACAGTGTCAGGTGCCTCGTGAATCCTGCAGCAAAATCAGACAGCGGGAGGACAGGTTTACTGCAAGAAATTTGAATTGCTCAATGTAGGAAAAGTCTTTGAATTGGTTTAGTGAAAAGAAAAAGAGAGAAAAAACCTGAGAGTGTCACTGAACAGCTGCATTTGCATGACCTGAGCGACAACTCTGAGGAAATGTATCCGTTTACAATTTTACTAAAATAAAGTAAATTAAGAAATTTCAAGTAAAAACTTGAAATACATCTTGAAATACATCTGTCCCATTTACTCAGTTTAACCCCCGGGAGGTGCCGTGGGGGCCGGGGTCAGTCCCCACGCGTGGGCAGGTGGCTGGGGGGTCCCATGGGGGCTCTGCCTGTGTGTGTGTCCTCCTGCCTTCACCTGCAGCTCTGGCCGCACTCGGGACCCCCTGGGGGTCCCACGGTCACCCCCCTCTGCATCCCCTCCCCGACACCCCCAGGACTCGTTCTCTCCAAATCCCCCCGGGTGCTGCCTGGACACGAGGGGCAGGGGAGCCCACGCGTGTCCCTGAGGAGGGTGAGGAGGGCAGGGGGCTGTTGGTGTCCCCGGAGGGTGTCGGTGCCCCCGGGGGTGGGTCGGTGTCCCCAGGGAGTGTCGGTGTCCCTGGGGGGTGTCAGTGTCCCCAGGGAGTGTCGATGTCCCCAGGAGGTGTTGGTATCCCTAGGGAATGTCGGTATCCCTAGGGAGTGTCGGTGTCCCCAGGAGGTGTCGGTGTCCCCAGGAGGTGTCGGTATCCCCAGGAGGTGTCGGTGTCCCCAAGGGGTGTCGGTATCCCCAGGAGGTGTCGGTATCCCCAGGGAGTGTCGGTGTCCCCAAGGGGTGTCGGTATCCCCAGGGAGTGTCGGTATCCCCAGGAGGTGTCGGTGTCCCCAGGGAGTGTCGGTGTCCCCAGGAGGTGTCGGTGTCCCCAGGAGGTGTCGGTGTCCCCGGGGCCCGGCGGTTCCCGCGGCCGCTCCACGCGCGGGGCGGAGCGGCCGTGACGCGGCGGGACCGGGGCTATAAAGCACCTGCCGGGCGCCCCACGGCTCCAGACGCTGCGCGGCGGCTCCAGTGGAACAGCCGGGACGGGAGGAAAAGGAAGAAAACCCACAGAAGAGCCCCCAAAAGCCGCCGGCTCAGCCCAGCCAAGCTCAGCCCAGCCCGCAGAGCCGCGGTGATGCCCCGCCACCCCGCAGTGCTGCTGGCGCTCGCCCTCCTCGCCCTCCTGGAAGCCGGTGAGCCCCGGGCTAGCGGAGGATCGGTACTCGGGGAGCCCTGGGCTGGGGGAGCGGGGACGGGGGTGGCCGAGGGGGCTGCGGGGTGCGGGCGCTGAGCGGTGCCCTCGCTCCGGAGGAGCCGCCGGGGCTGTCCCGGTCCGGGATGAGCCGCAGCCTCATCCCGCGAAGCTGTGGGCACGGTCCCGGCGGAGGTGTGGCTGCGGAGGGGACACACGGGCGGGCTCCGAGCGTGCGGCTCATCCCTCCCTCGTGTGCCGCAGGTCTGGGCCATCCCCCGCCAGAGTCCCACCTGGCCGCGCACCCGAGGACCAAGAGATGTTCCTGCAACAGCTGGATGGATAAGGAATGCATTTACTTCTGTCACCTGGACATCATCTGGGTCAACACACCCGGGTAAGCACGAGCAGCTTTCGGAGTGGGGAGCTCTGGGGATGGACAGTGACTGTACTTTCTGCGGGAGGATGGGGAAAGGGTCCCACTGCTGGGAGGCTCCGGGAGCACCTGCTCGGGGGACATTGCAAGCTCAGCCTAGAAAGGGACAGGCTGTGCTTCTGCTCAGGAGGTTCAGTCTCACTCCCAGGGATCAAGGTGAAAGCACAGGGTGCTGCTGCCTAACGGGCTCTGAGGTTTGTACCTCTGCAAGCCCAAATTAACACCAAGATGTTGTAGCTTCAAGTCAGAAAGTTGCTCTCCCCGCTCACAAACTGCAGCCCTGGCTGCTGCCTGCCAGTATTGTTAATGAGACAGTGGTGGGCTGGCACTAACGGCCCGTGGCTGCCAAGTCCTGCCCTCAGGAATGTTAAAGCAGCTTTCCCAGCAGTTTCAGACCAATGGCCATCACACTGGAGCATAACACATGTGCTCAGGTGTGGTTATAATCGTGCTTGCTGACATGAAACTACAACTCGCTGCTTGCTCGGAGAAGAGTTGCAGTCACTGCCAATCCTGAACCCTCTGGGAGAGGAGATTGCCATCAGAGATGGAGCTGGGAATGTGCTAACAGCTCTGGGAGCACGCTGGGATCACAGAACCTCCTCTGGCCCCGAGATATCCTTGTACGATATCCTGGGTGTTAAACCCGCGGGGGAAGGAAGGCACTGACATCTCTGCCGGGCTGGGGCTGCTGGCCCGGGCCAGCCCTGCTCCTCCTGTGCTCTGGCACGCAGCTGAACTGCCCAGCCCATGCGGTAACCCTTGCACGGGCACCTGGGCTGCTGCAGGGAGAGGGAACTGCACTTCCAAGCCAGCACATCGTGGCAATCTCCCTGGGAGGGGCTGGGTGGGGAAAACAGGAGGTGGGAGAGGAGCTGCAGTTTAAAGGCTTAGACCTATCAGTGACCTTTTCACCTTCTGTCTACAGATGAGTCTTTTATTATCCTGGCACAGGCTTGGCTGCCTCCCAAGACCGTGCTGTAAACCTGTTGGCTAATAAAAAAGTTGGTGGCACGGCTGAATCCCTTTGTTTTTCCCAGGCACACGGCTCCCTACGGCCTGGGGAGCCCGCCCAGGCGGCGCAGGAGGTCACCGGGCAGGTGCCAGTGCTCACACTCCAGGGACAACATCTGTGCCACCTTCTGCCAGGGGAAGCCTGGGTAAGTCAGGGGGTCCTGAGGGTGTCCCTGGGGGCTGTTTGGGGAGGGGGCAAGCAGACAGACAGCGCTCAGGAGCTGGAGCATCTCCAGCTCCCTGGGGACACTGTGAACGGCTGGAACTTGTCTAGTGGCTCTCACTGCCCTCCCAGGAGGCCCTGGCAGTGCCACCCGGGTGTTTTGGTTGTACAAAAGCCTCTTTACTAGCTGATATAAAGCAATGTTACCTCCATCCCTCCTGCTTGCCAGGGTGCTGGGGGGAAGGCAGAGCTGGCAGAGTGGGAAGGCAGAGTTGGGAACAGGGACAAGCAGAGGGTGGGGAGCTTTGGGACACCAGAGGAGCAGAGCAGGACTGCTGTGAGCTGGGACTCAGAAGCCAGATCTCCTCTGTGATCAGCTCTGTTTACACAGCACGTGGGGTCTCAGTTCTCTCCCTTCAGCAGCAGCACAGAGGGGTGTGTACACTGTGGGGAGGTGGGAGCAAAGGCATTGTAGAGGTCTGTCATTAATTCCATAGCAAGGCAATAGTTAAAATCCCGATCATTAAATGTGAATAGAGTAAGGTCTGACAGAAGGGAATAGCAGGAAAAGTGAGCCCTGAATAGCTCTCAAATAGCTGCAATTAACCCTTCAAGATCATGCATTCAGCTGTCTGTCACTGGGGCTCAGCACAGCCAGTCTGGATGTGGGTGGTTCATGAATCTCCTCTTGCTCATTAGGTACCTCCAGAGTCTGAAGCTCCCAGTGAGTTCTGGAGCGTCAGCGAGGTCCCCACAGAGTGGTGACATGAAGCCTCCCCACCATGGCCTGCTGAGAGCTCTCAGGTGAGATGACACTTAAAACCATCCTGAACATCCCTCATAAGCACTTGAAAATCAGCAGCTGTGACCGCACACTGCAGCTTCCACTTGGATTTGACAGGACTTCCTCCTCTTGTCTCCTTTAAATAAGAATACTTGACTATTTCTGCTCTCTGTAGAATGGAGAGCTCAGAGCTGAGGGAGCCAGGGTTGCTTGTGACCTACCAGATCCAGAGGATTATTACATAAAATGTAATTCTTGATTGGAGTAGGAAGTTCCTCTGATATGGGACAGGCAGGGGGGTGATGTACCAGAAGAGGGTGAGGGGATGGCATCATGGAGGAATATAATTCATTGGGCAGCAACTTTGGACTGAAGAAAAGAGCTTTTCTCAGCCCATGTCAGTGAGTTGTGGAATCGCTGCTGGAAGAAACCAGAGACTCCATGAGTGTAAATGAGCTAAAGGGAGTTGGCAAATCAGCTAATTGTTAGTAGTTAAGTCAGATGCAATTGGAACAGTGTCTGAAAGGCAGATCTGGGGAAACATCACTTGGGTCATGCCCTGCTGCAGGACTCCTTGAATCCTCTGCCACTGATGGAAAGGGGATTTTGGGCTTGATGAAGCTCCTCTGTGGTTTAATAAAGCTGTGGCTGGAAATTCCCCCTCTGCCTTCCCCCATCTTCTGCCCCACCGTAAATCCTGGAGAGGGGTAGATACATGTCATAGTATGGGCTGTTTCTGAGCAGTGGGCAAATGGACTGGAGAGTGAAGATGGTGTCTCTTCTATTCCCAGGGACCTTGCTGCCTCCAGCCTGCGCTCCGGGGAACACCTGCAGCGCTCCCGGAGGGGCGCACAGCCAGCAGTTCTGCCTTGGAGGAAAAACATCTGGAAGAAGAAGAGATAAGAAACAGGTGCACACCAAGTTCACCAGAAGAATTTGGAGTCCTGTGGGTGCCACCAGCTCCGCTGTCAGTAGTTAGAGCTGAAGGAAAGGCCGTGAGTGGAAGGGAAGGAGTGGAAGTGTCCGTGCTCCTGTCGCTGACCCAGCACTGCCTGTACTCCAGAGACTGTTGTAAAGGGAAAACTCTCTCTCTATACAGTCCTAGATGTGTTGTGGAGCTGAATTGTGCCTTTTTGGATCAGGCAAGGGTCTTGCTGGATGAGTACGAGCTTAACTCTGCTCTGGAGTCATGGGCAGAGGGTGGAATCCCAGCCCGGGTGGTTCTGTGCAGTTCTGGATGTGCCAGCACTGAGCCCGTGTCTCCAGCCTGCTCTGCTCTGCCTTGGAGCTGGGTGTGAGCAGGGCCCAGCTCGGCCCCACTCAGAGCTGCTTTGGCTGGTCCTGGTGCTCAGGGATGAGCTGCCTCCAACCTGAGCCCAACTTTGCACTATTTTCTCTTGTCAGTCAGTGCCTGTGAATGAGACTCTCAGGCTGAACCAGCTCCCAGTTTGTATTAAAAATATGGATAATGCAGAAGCCTGGAAGCCAACGGAGTGGTCAGTGGCACTCCCTGGCTGAGAAATTCACTGAGGGGAGTTTTCCCTGAGGTCCTTGAGGGGCTGTAGTTGAGGTGGAGGGTGGCTCACACCAGAGCCGGCACCAAATCCAAGCGTGACCCTGCCAGCAGGCCCAGGGTGGGGAGGCTGAGGGGGAGCTGTGTCTGCAGGAGCCCCAGCAGAGCCAGGGGAGGGAGCCCTGCCCGGCCTGAGCTGCTGCTCTGGGTCAGCTCAGGGCTGTGAGTCCATCTCATCTCCCTGGACACTCCCTCAGTGGGGCAGGGCACTCCCAGCTCCCAGCCCGACATCCCAGCTTTGTTCCAGCTGTGCCTGGAAGAAGGGGCTGGAGGCAGAGAGGTGTGTATGGGGGGGGGAGAGATCCAGAGGCTTGCTTGCTGCTTTGCTTAGATCAGGTCTCTGAGCTGGGCTCTGTGTAATAAATACTGTGTATGGGTAGCAGGTCACTGTGGGAATTGTAACCTGGATCGGGAATGCAAAGGGCAACCAGACAGGATGGATGTGGAAGGGAGGACTGGGAAGAAGAGGAGGTTGGAACCAGATGAACTTTAAGGTCCCTTCCAACCCAAACCTTTCTGTGATTCCGTAGGGGAGCACAGCCCTGTGTGCACAGAGAAAGGCTGGGATTTAAAGCTGTGCCAAAGCTGTGGAGCAACACAGGAGGGACAGGGGAATCTGGGAAAAACACTGAGCCCAGGACCTAGAAACCAATCCTGCAGGCAAACACAGTCTCAAGGCTCTGGAGCTGTATCACAAATGCACTTTTGTTTGCCTGGGCAGATTAATTCCATTAGAAACAGAGGCTGCAGCTCTGGGCAGTGCAGGGGAATCACTGCTCCGCTGGAACCACTGTTGGGTCCCTCTTGCTGCCCAATCCAGTATTACACAGGAGCGTTTCTAAAGGCTGCTGGAAGTTGGTGGTGGACCAAAATCTGTGGCTGTTGCAAGTGTAGTCCCGTTGGACAGCAAAAATAATTCCTTGATTTTGCTCTAAGCCCTGGAGGGGGGAAAAAATGAGACCAACTGATTGTATCATAAACGAAACAGCAAATGAATCATTTGATCCCCAAATCTTTTTTATATTTGACTTTCTGAAGGTTGGAGTCATTCTAAAAAAAAAATAAATCCTGAAAAGATTTGTTCCAGAGGAAACTTTGCACATGGTTTAATGTGAGCTGAGTAATTTAACATAAAACTACTGCTGTTGAATACTATGTATCTCTCCTTGTGTGAATAATGTCTCATCCTAAGTGACTTACTGCACACTCGCCATATGTAGCATCCTGAAATCTGTATATTTATTTAAATCTATTGATTTTTTTAGACAGTAATTTTCAAATTATAATTTGTAATAAATAATGACAAAAGTCAATATGATTTTTCTTCCTTATTTGGTGGCTGGGGGGTGGTGGGCAAAGGGAGAGAAATCCAGCTGGCCCAAAGCACTGGGAAAGGGAGTGGCACAGCAGAGCTGGGTGGGAATAGAGAGGTTGGGAATGGTCCTGAGCAAATTTCAGTTCAAAGCGAATCCATCAGATTAAACATTCCTTAACTTAAACACCTTCCTCCTCTCTAGATGTCTATGAGACAAAGTTATTCCCAGGTCGTTGTACTTGGGGCTATGGGATCTTTGTGCCAAGGGATCCTGGAAGTTTTTTCCCAGAGTTGAGCCCTTTGCCTCCCATGCTCTTCCCAGCTCTGTGACCGTGGGTGTCACACAGGGACAGAGCACCCACGTCCCCTCCTGTGCCCTTCAGAGCTGACAGGGGCTGTGGGGTTTGATATTAATATTTTTTGAGTAAGTGCAGTTAAAAAGCCATCAGTCAAAGGAGGGCTATGAAGATGCTGAAGGATCTGGAGGGGCCATGAGGAGC